ACCAGCTGCTGTGTGCCTAGCAGCCCCCGCTCCCAGCCCGATTCATTCCTAGCTCCTAGGGGGTTTGTCACTTTGCTGGTTATTGCTGTTTCCATCCTGAAGTGGCAGCTCCAGTTGTGTTTCCCAGATAATTTCAAAGATGCTAATTGCCACCTGCTGATTTCCTGTAAACACTGTACTTTACACATGTGATTAATCAGAGAGCTGTGGACTGTTCTGAGGAAACGTGTGTATGTGTGTGTGCGTGAGTTTCATTACTGTGGCAGATTTAAATCATAGGCAATGTTTGCTCACAAAGCTGCATTAGCAAAACGACAGGGAAAACAAAATTACAAAATACCATAAACTGCAAGTTCATAGACTATATAAACAACTACTCGAATCAGCCAACGATGCACTGACTAAATTCTAGAACTGAGCCTGAGGAAGGTAGCCTCTCTAAAGGAGACTTTGACTCACAGATGCGTATGTTTCTAAAAGAAATCAAACCTGAAAACATTTTCAAAGGTTTCAGAGAAAGTATACTCTCTTTAGATTCAAGATTGGCCTTGTGTCAAATCCTAGCTCTTTCAGTGACTACCCATAATATTCACGCAAATTACCTGGAACTTCAAACCTCCATTTCCTCATCTGTAAAACAGACATTATAATTTCTAAGTTACCTGAGACAACATGTATCAGGCTTAATTGCATGTGTTAGTCAGAATTGTATGGATTGTGACAAATTTAATTCAAAGTGGCCTCGGCAAAACAAGAAATGTATTGGCTCAAAATATTAAAAAAGCCAGGCCTCTGGCTTCAGGTCTAAGAGCCCAAATGATGCCTGTGGAATGCTTTGACACCCTCTCCACTTTCTGGCCCTGCTTTCCTCTGCCAAACCTCATTCTCAAGTAGACTTTACTTATGGCAAGCTAGTAGACTAGCCAACAGCCCCACACATATGTTTTATCCTCTCAGAAACCACAGAGAACTGGTATAGATTACATTTCACTTGGGAAATGACCCACTAGCCCATTCTCAGATCACATAGTTGGGTAGGGAAGTATCTACTCACACAGAACCTAGTCAAACCCCAGAGATATGCACAAAATCAGTCACATATACGATAACATAGCTGGATTTCTGACCCCTAAACCAAATGAGAAGTTGGACCAGCCTCATAAGTTGGACCATAAAGAAGGCTGCATAGCAAAGAATTGATGCTTTCAAACAATGGTGCTAGAGAAGATTCTTGAGAGTCCCCTGGATAGCAAGGAGATCAAACCAGTCAATCCTAAAGGAAATCAACTCTGAATATTCATTGGAAGGACTGATGTTGAAGCTGAAGCTCCAATACTTCGGCCACCTGATGTGAAGAGCTGAATCATTGGAAAAGACCTTGATGCTAGGAAAGACTAAGGGCAGGAGGAGAGGGGTGACAAAGGATGAGATGGTTGAATAGCATAAGCAACTCAATGGACATGGATCTGAGTAAACTCCAGGAAATGAAGGTCAGGAAACCCTGGCGTGCTGCAGTCCATGGGGTCTCATGGACTTAGCGACTGAACAACAACATAAGAGAGAAAAATCAGTATTCCATCATCAGAATCTGAACCCCAGATTGATACTCAACCTTCCGTATAAGCAGACGTGCTGAGTGACAAGACAGAGAAGTTTGCTCAACTCAGAAATGCTGGTCAGCCTTCTCTGCACATGCTCACATGGGATGAGATGATTTCGGTCCTAGGCCAACAGTGGAAAGGTGGGTAGTTCAGATTCAAAGCCAGGCCCATTTGGCCAAGGTAGTCGTTTGCCATTTTCTGTTTTCAAGCATCTCTGAAAGTTTACTGCACTTCCTACCAAAAACTCTCATAGTATTCCAGCCAGTGGTCCTGGTCTCCATCTAGTCACTTTGTCCCTTTATCTAGCCCCATCCCCACAAGCAGGGAAAGATGGGGTCCTCTACCCCTTCATTTCTATTGTCCCTCCTCCTCAACATCCCCTCTGATATGAACAGGGTCTTCAGGATGTGGTAATGTATCACATTTATCCTGTGATAGTTGGTCAATATTAGCCACAGGATTTCATGGTCTTTAGGTATCCTGCTCTAAAAAAATAAAATAAAAATGTGAGAAGTCAGGGCAAATGGGTATTATCAGGACAAGTTAAAAAGAGTAGGTATGCAAGAAGTCTAGAGCCCTTGTTAAATAAGAATGGAGGGATGCCAAGATAAAGGGGACTTCTCGGTGTCTATGAAAGTAAAAACTTAGCCTGATTGAAAAATAATACACATAAAACAGAAATGTTGGTAGCAGCCTCTGGACTCTGATGCCCTTCCTGACCAGCTATGAGGAACATTAAAGTCCTTTCTATAATGAGTTGAGTTTATTTGCCTTTTTGGTCACTTGGTTAAAGTATCAGAGTTAGCTACAGCATAAAGTGACATGCTCCTTAGCACAGCTTCTGATTCAGACCACCTGGATCTGAACCCAAGATCCTCCACTCCACAGCTAGAATGCCTTAGGCACATTACTTAACTTCTCTGTGCCTCCATTTCCTTGTTAGGAATAATAGCATCTGTCTCCCAGTGTTGGCATGAGAAAGAAATTAGCTAACATCTATACAGTAAATAATTCAAACTAAACCTGGCTCATAATAAAACTGAATACACTTAGCTGTTCTACAAGCAGCGACCTAGTCTCCCTTCCTTCAGGAAACTAAGCTCCCTTGTCTGCATGAACTTGGTTGATTGGGTAATACCTCAGGACAGTGTCAGGTCTCTCTATGGACTCAGAGAGGCAAAGCTGAGGTACCATAGGGACGTGGCTTGCAGGCACAGAGCTTTGAGTTCCTTACAAATTGCTACTTGCTTTTGTGCACTTGATATTATGATTGGCAGGGATTTTTCTTCTGTTTGACAGTGCTTGAGTAAGCTCATCCGTTGGTTTACTCTGAAAAGGGGGAACAGTTGGCAGCATACTTTTCTTGCCCTTAGGCTGAAAAGACTTGGCACAGTAAATTACAAGAGGTGAGCTAAGCTGGTCACAGGAGGGCATAAATGGACATCAGACTTTGCTAACAACTAGGAAGCAGCATCACAAAGCAGTAGCAGGTGTTACTGAAACTCCAGAGGCAAAGGCTATAAAACCCGGAAGGGTTGTTATCCAGGCATAGAGATGAGGGTGGAGACTACTCAATGGGCTGGCACAAGCCAACTTTGCCTGAAGGCTTGTCTGCAGCTCTTGGAGCTCGAAGTAGCTTGTCAAGGTCATCTTTGCATTCTGGTACTTCCAACCTCCTTCCTTCACCAACTTAAACACTCGGGTCACTCTGGTCCCTTGCCTGTTCTCCACTCTCAGTCATCTCTAGAATTCCTTTTCTTTATCAAGTCAATTCCTACTTGTTCCTCAAGCTTAACTAAATTTCAGTCTCCTCCAGAAAGTTTGTTGCCCACTTCCAAATCCTTTGAACTGATGGCTCTCTTTATCTGATACAACCAGGTGGAATTATACAGTCTTAAGGCACTCCTTGGGACTTCCCTGGTGGCTCAGAGGTTAAAGCATCTGCCTGCAATGCGGGAGACCCGGGTTCCATCCCTGGGTGGGAAGATCCCCTGGAGAAGGAAATGGCAACCCACTCCAGTATTCTTGCCTGGAGAATCCCATGGACGGAGGAGCCTGGTAGGCTATAGTCCACGGGGTCGCAAAGAGTCCACTGAGCGACTTTACTTTCACTTTCAAGGCACTCCTTACACTCAAGCCTTGTAAGACAGCAAACACCATTGGTCGTACCTGGGTAGTGTCTTTTGTTCTTCCCTTTGGTAGCAATACCTACCTGACTTTTTTCTTTAGGGAAAAAGTCCTTCCAAACTCTTGGTCCACATGGCTGTTGGAGGAGGTCATCAGAAGGACATGACCACCAGGTGACCTCTGAGCTGGACCAGGGCAATCAGCGGCTCTTCAGGCCCTTGCCTGTCCTTGACGTGTACATCTTGCCCTCCAGCCCTACAGTGAGAGCTCTTCAAGGATGCAGCCTTGAGAGAGTAATGTGCAGTAGAAGGCCAACTAGACTGAATACCTGATTGAACCCAATCGAAGCTTCTATATAAACTACTAAGATTCTAGGGTAGGTACCAAGATCTACTCATCCATGGGCACTAAGACAAGCCTTGTATGGAAGTTCCCTCACATGCTACCAGGCGCTGCAGAGTGTGGAGACCCTCCAAATGCTCCTGCCCCCAATCCTGGGGAGAGCCCTGTAGCCTACAGGGAGGGAGTCAGGGAGAGTCCCGCTAATGCCTGCTGTGGACCCGCCCACATGGACTGCAGTCGCTGTTAAGCCCAGCACTGACACCATCTGGAGGGAAACGGGAATGGACTGCAGTTGCCAGAGGGCTGAACTCAGCATTCGGTGATAACTTCCAGGGGGTGCAGTGGTAAAGAATCTGCCTGCCATTGCAGGCAACTCAAGAGACACAGATTCAATTCCTGGGTCAGGAAGCTCCCCTGGAGATGGAAATGGTAACCCATTCCAGTATTCTTGCCTGGAGAATTCCATGGACAGAGGAGCCTGGTGGGCTACAGTCCAGGGGGTCACAAAGAAACGTACACAACTGAGCCACTGAGCACACACACACACACACACACACACACTTGAGCCCTGGTACATTAGCCCTTTGCCCTGACAGTTGGGCTGTTCTAAGGGGATTGGCCCCACAGCTTAGAAAATGGGGAGCTGAGGGGCGGCTGATCATGAATAAGCCCTTGTGGAGTCAGGATGTGTGCAAAGTCATCTGAGTTTGCCTGTAAGAGCTTGCGTCAGTCCTCACTGTCCCCCACACCCCAGCTCAGAGTGTGCCAACACCCAGGGCAATCAGGAAGTTGACGTTGTGGCCTCGGTGCAAGCCCTAGGAGCTGACCCTTCAGCCGCATTAACATCCAAGGGTCAGGCCACAGTTGTAGTTCTTACAGAAGCGGAAGACCCCCCCCATATAAGTTCCTACTACGTTTCTGTCTTATTACCTTGGTCTCCTGCTGCTCCTGTGGTTTCCAGTCACGGGGTGGGCACCTGATGAAGGAGTCTTTTGGGGCCTAGAGAAGAGAACAGCAGTCTCAAAGGCCCCTTGCTGAATCATCTAACTTCGGAGAGAACAAAGCATAACTTTAGTTTACTGGCATAGTGGATATCACCACTCCAGGAAGGGGACTGGAAGGCCCTAAAGCAGTACCTTAAGGAATGACAAGCCAGGACTAATACTCTTTAATTCATCTGATATCACCAATACTGATCCAGAACACTGGCCCCCATGATCACTAACACTGAACAGGGTACACTTTTTCTGTCAATCAAACTAAACAGGTAGGCCATCAAGCTGCTGACAGGAAGACTCCTAAAAATACCACTGGAGTCATGGGTGGTTGCACTCAAATTTGGGGTAGCTTCATTTGGGTCCGTGCCAGCTGGTGGACATTTGAGCACCTGGGCAACTCAGTGTTGGGAACAGAAAAATCACTCTGAAAAGAAAGGACCCAGACTTCTCTGGTACTTTAGCAGTAAGAATCCACCTGCCCATGCAGGGGACATGGGTTCAATCTCTGGTCCAGGAAGATTCCATATGCTTCAGGGCAACTAAGCCCATGTGCCACAACTACTGAGCCTGTGCACCCTAGAGCCTGTGGCTCCATGATAACAAAAGCCACGTCGATGAGAAGCCCACACATTACAACCAGAGAGTAGCCCCTACTCCCTTCAACTAGAGAAAGCGCACATGCAGCGATGAAAACTCAGAGCAGCCAAAAATAAAACAGAAAAAAGAAACCAATCATACCATGGGTGTGGGATGGCTATCACTGAATTGTGTGGTCATTCTGTCACATTAAGGGCTAGTGAGTGATTCGGCACTGATTGGTCACACCCCATATCTGCTAGATGACCTGGAATGTGACCCAATGGCTGTGTGGCTCAGATCTTTGGCCATGGCTTCCACCTGTGGTTGGGCTACTGTGACCCTGGGTTTTCCTGAGCCCAGGGGAGAATCCACCCAGAGTAACAAAAGCTGCCAAATTCCCTGTGGTGAACGCCAGATGGGCACGTCCTGTTTTCCACTGGTACAACAATCTGGCCTCCATCCTTATCCCCTCCATTGGCCTGGAGGACATCATAGCACACACAGAGGCCCTTACTAAGTTCACCCAGAAACTCTTCTATGACAGCCAGCAAAGGCTGTCCTTACTAGACACTGAAGTGTGTCCAGTGAGAAAATCCATCCTACAAAATAGGATGGCCTTGCCTGCTGTTACTACAAGGAGNGATGGCCTTGCATGTTGCTACTACAAGGAGGCACCTGTGCCATGACCCAAACGAGATGTTGTGTGCTCACACCGGATGAGCCAGCTAATGCAGCATCTTTAGCAAACCTCATGAGGACACAAGTGCATGCCCTGAGTGATCCGACCCCTAGCCTAGGGATTTAATAAACCAGTGGTTCAGATCATAGGCTTCGTGATGGGAAAAGCTGTTACTTCTGCTGAGAATCATTATTTTGCTGTGTGTTTTCTCCTGTATGTGCCTCTACAGCTGCTGTGGCTTCTGCCTCTAGTGCAACCAGACAACCACCCGACCAGCTACCTCCCTGCTGGCAACACCCCTTGCTGACCACTCAGGTCCCACTGTGGAAGTGGGGGCTAGGTGGAGTGTCAGAGGAGGTCACCAAGAGAACATGAATGCCAGTTCACCCATGAGCTGGACCCCAGTAATCAGAGGCTCCTCACTCCCTTCCTTTGCCCTTGGAATGTATGTTCTGCCCACTGCCCCAAAGTGGGGGCCATTTCAAGGACACAGCCTTGAGAGAGCAGTGTGTTGTTGAGAACATCTGGACAGTATTCAAGGCTGAACCCTGTTAAAGCCTCTACATGAACTATTAAGATTCTAGGGCTGGGTGCAGGGATCTAGCCATCTTGTGGCCCCTAAGCCAAGCCTGATGTGTCAGTTCCCTTGCTTGTTACACCCACCACCTACCCATCTGGAGTGGCTGCCTCTTTTTGGTCTCTCTTTGTCCTCCATGGACAGGGACATGTTTACCAACCCATAAGCGGCTCAGAAAGCTCATCTCCAGAAATGGACATGTGGCCCAGGTCTAACCAATCAGGTATTGCATCACCCTGGTCACAATGATTGGTTGAGGAATGGCACATGACCCAAATCAACCAACCTCATCAATGTCAGCCCCAGGAGTTTTACTGGAACTATTGGGAAAAAAATAAAAGAGCAGGTACTCTCTTCCAAAAGACCAACAGATACCATAGGATGGAGAGAACCTTCGTGAAAATAAAGCCAAGTCAGAAGAAAGCAGAGCTGCATAAAGGGAGAAATCAGATACCTGAGGGCATAATCTGGATGGAGCTATGCCTGAACTTAAATTTTCCCTGGACATTTCAGTTATAAGAAACAAATTCCCTTCACTCAACAAATATTTATTGAAGGCCTACTGCTCCAACCACTAAAACACATTAGTTAACATTTTTTTAACTTAATATGATATTAACTAGATTTCTTCACTTGAAACTGAAATAGCTTTGGTCAAAAAAAGACTTCATGTTGCTGAATTCCTGCATTGCTATTTAGCATCCTTCATGCGGATGCCTCTTTTTCCTAAGTAGATCATGAATTCATTAATAGAGACCCTATTTTATATCTCTCTATATCACCAACTACGGTATGTACGTAATTGTAAATAACTGACAAATCATTTGTTAAGTCAATAAATAAAGGCTAAGTTTATTGGGCATCCAAATCAGATAGCCCAGGTCAGAAGAAATGTCCAAGGAGACTAGCCAGTGAGTTCTGATTAGACCGTGGATTTCAGGAGGCATCTGTGCTCCATGAGCACAAACATAGCATGATAATAAAATCAACACTGACCCACAAAAATGGAACATATCACAGTCAGGACATATGCATGTGCCTCCCTCTGCTCTCAGCCCAAATTCCTAGAAATGACCCAAGAAAAAATATTGTTGAATAATAAACACATAACATTGATGAAAATCAAGAAAAAGTACAGCAAAGGACCATAAATTCGACAGAAGAAAAAAGAGCTAAAAACATGTGTAGAAAGGAATTGGCCATGAAGATGGAGTGGTTTCTGGTATGGTCCAAATCCAAAACAGGAAGCGGTGAGTAGTGAATGGTGAATGGAGTAATCAAAGAACCCAGTTCAAAGCAATTGAGTGGTCAGTCCATTCACTGAGACTCTCACGCTCCTGGGGAGTAGGCAGCAACCACCTTTTCCTACAAAACAAAGCCGTGACTGAACACAAAGGAGGAAGACACGTGACACTGCCAAAAGTACCTCACGACTCTCAGGAGAAATGAGAAATACTCAAACCAGAACAAAAACTACCAGTTCACTCTACCTGGCAGCACACCAAGTCCCTTCTAACACTGAAGACAAGGTGATGCATTAAAGTCATCGACAGGTGAATACTGAATGTCAATCTCAAACATGAGAGGTTGTGGGGGGCGGAGAACAAGAATTCCCAAATGTAATGCAAAATCTAATCTAATAGTCCTTTCACTATCCTCCTAGTTAATCTCTCAACAGCCTTTAATAAAAACAACCCCTTTCTCCTTCTTGCAACACCTATTTTCCTTGGCTGCCATGACACCACACTCAAGTGGTTCTCCTTCTACTTCTCTGGTGAGTTCTACTCAGTCTGCTATGCAAGATTCTTCTATTAGTTAGCTAGGGCTGCTGTACAAAAAAATACCACAAACTGAGGGACACAACAGAAATCTATCATTCATGGTTCCAGAGGCCAGAAGTCTGAAATCAAGGTGTCAGCTGAGTCACGCTCCCTCTGAAGGCTCCAAGGAAGGATCTTCTCCAGGCCTCTCTCCTAGCTTCTGACTAGTCCTTTGACTGTGGTAGCAAAACTCCAGTCTTCACATGGACTCCCAGTGTGGGTGTCTATTTTCAAATGTCCCCTTTTTATAAGAACAAAAGTCATAATGGATTAGGGCCCCCCAGTCCAGTATGAAGTCATATTAACTAACTACATCTTCAATGACCCTATTTCCAAATAAGGTCACATTCTGAAATACTGCAGATCTCTACTTCAACATATGAATTTGACAAGGGACGTAATTCAGCCCATGACAATTCTCCTTCACTGTCTGCTAAATGATGGGGTGCTCTAGGGCATGAACCAAGGTTCACTTTTCTTCAATATCTATGTGTGTGCATGTATATGTGTGCTCGGTCATATCCAACTCCCCCTATACTCTTTCCTTACATGTTCTCTTCAAGTCTGATGGCTTTTAATACATGAGGATGACCTCCAGAAACCTCATATCTTCACCAAGGCCTCCCCCTTGAGGTACACCCACCTGTCTACTTGACACATATCTAATAAAGATCCCAAAATATCACATCCAAATAAGAATTAATGATTTTCCCGTCACCGTGCATGCATGCTAAGTCACTTCAGTTGTGTCTGACTCTTTGTGACTCCATGGACTATAGCCCAGGGGACCAGGCTCCTCTGTCAATGGGATTTCCCAGGCAAAAATATATGACAATTCTATGACTAATTTTCCCCATTTTGCTGTTAATACTTTGAATAAAAAGGTTGTCTTATGTCTCTGCTTATCCCACCATGCCTAGCATGGCACCTCATAGAGATGCAGAGAAAAACCATTGACTATTACATATGCATATCAAGAAACAATTGAGAATTTTTCATTATTGCATTACTCAATGTGGTGAAAAGAACTGGAACATTTAAATGGTTATTATTCTGTCAACTATCTGACCATCATTAGTGAACCAGTGGGAGAGGAACTTTTTAATCTGTGAAATGGAAGTTTATTTCAATTAGTTATAATTTGGTTAAGAAATCATATTTGAAAATATTTATACAATGTCTGAAATAGACACACCAATACAAACATACTCAACTTTTTCACTTTTCACTTTTAGTTCTTCCCATATCAAAAACTGTAGTTCCATCAACCCAAATACCCTCAAACAAAAAACCTAGGAGCCATCCTCAATACCTCTCTTTCTCTTATGCTCCATAACCAAGCTATTCCAAGCCTGACAGTTCTACATTAAAAAACATATGTAACA